TTTTACCAAATGGCAAAATGAGCAAACTAATAGTCACAATTTTTCATACGAAACAATTTATTTTTGTAATTTTATGTTATATCTTATAATTAATAATAACAACGTTGGCCATAGCAGATTCATTACTGGAATTACCTTTCCACGAAAGCCAGGGCCGTGACAAGAAAATTTTTTCGGGGGGGAGGGGCTACCTGGGTTACTTAGTTTACCATTTAGGTTTTCATTACAACTTAGGTTACCATTAGCAGAAGGTAAAATCAAAAATTTTGGGGGGGAGGGGGGGGGGTCGGACACCCCCTCCCCCTGCTGGGTACGGCCATGACGAAAGCTATTGATTAATGATCACGACCAGTATGTTGGAATTACTGCAAAGTTACATACGTAAACAGCTTGTTACCAAAATCAATTCGAAAAATTTGTATATTCCGAGTCGATTCGAGTCCAGTAAACCTCGAAAAATTGGGTTCTCGCACACTCCTATTAGAAATAGCTTTGAAAATTTAAGACGTAATAAAAAAACCCCACTCGGTTACTAGGAATAATCTCAAACGAAAAAAATTGCAGCAAATAAATTCTCTGCTCTTTGTGCAAAGGGCAATCTGCAGGTTATCGCAGTCTCTTCATACTGTACAGGAAAAAATAGCACAAAAGCCATCACCAATATTAGTTTCAGACGTATAAAATATCCTTCCACTAAAAAAGCTACTGATAAATGCGATTGAAATTTTCTGTCTTAAAGTTTCTAGAATCACCAATTTTAGTCAGCACACGTACGGTCCAAAGTACCAAAAGTGTAATCATACGGAAAACTACATACTGTTTCCAGCAAGCCACTTGTGAAATGAGTAGGCGACCACTTTACAAACTAATATCACATCAAAAGCAAAACCACAGAAGTCACATGTGTTAATAGTGATGGTTAAAACTATCCTGCTAGCTACATAGGTTGCATAATCCGCAAAAAAACCCATTTGGTCGTCCTAAATTCTAATTCGCAAAAAAGTAGAAAGACTGGAAACTATATAAAATATCCAAAGAACTTAAAGCTATGTTGTAAAATGAAAAGAGAAACACTTTCAAACTTATCTGAAAAAATCTTACACCTACAGACGACACAAACGTTTATAAAAAGCTAGTAAGCTTAGCCTTAAATCTTAAAAATTTATTCCAATTATACGCTGCCTGCCAAGGAACTGAGTCACGACAAATGCTTAAGAAGCTAATTCATTTGCTCAATATCTGGCTCAAGTTTTTCAACCACAGAGACAAATTACTGAAGAGGAACGTATACTCTGCTCTAAACTGCGCCCCTACGCTCACAGGATACCGATCCTATAAAATTTGTGAAACTAAGGGAAGTCATAAGATATTTTAAAAAATATGAAACATGAAAAAGTTCCTGCTCTACGCGACCACATTATTGGCAGAATGAATATCAGAAATTGCCTCTCACAGCTTCAAGACTTATCACAATATAAACCAATGCATGTTTTCGTCTTCTTTCGTCATGTTTCTCACTTTCCATCACAGTTCAAAGAGGCTCAGATAATTTCAATTTTAAAACTAGGAAAATGAGCTGAGAAATTAACCTCATATGGATCACAGTTAAATATTTTGCCAGTTCCCTCAAATCAAATTGATTAATTTATTACAATTCGATCAGATATTCGACCAATTAATGCCAGATTTCCAACTTATCTTTAGAAACCGCCATTCGACGATCGAATAGGTGACAGGGTTGTACCCGAGGTAAGGGACGCTTTTGAGCGTCTCATTATTGCTCAGCCGTATTTCTCGTTGTGATACAAGTTTTTGATAGAGTTTAGCATGAGGGTCTGTTACATAAATTAAACAGTTCTTTCAACTAACTCTTGTACTACTTAAGTCGTATCTCTGAAGTGTTACCGACATAATCTCCGCAATATAAAATCTCCGACACACAAAATAACCCAAAATAACCGAAAATAACCCATTAAAGTAATAAAGTAATATTTATAAATACCTAAAAAACATAAAAAAATTTAAAAAATAATGGTGGAGATTTTGTCGTGCTGAAACAGAACATGTCGGTCAAAGTGAATATCAAAAGTAGTTCTTTTTTATTATTTGGGCTCCTTTTTTTACTCTTTTCAGTCCTGGTGTATGAAAAAGGTATGAGATTTTCCAGGTTATTTGAATAAAAAAGGTAATGAGTGGATTTTTCCAGGGAGTTTTAGTTTTTACGAGTCGCTTGGCCCCAAATGAGTGATTTACTTACCTATATGGTTCGCAGACGAAAAATAATTAAAACTCATTTGAGAACACTCTGAACAACTCAATCAGATAACACTCTGAGAAGAGAACAATGTATTTCTTGGTTGATATGATACTATCCATTAATCCATCCATTATTATCTCATCCGGAGGTGAGGGTACCTCGATTTATATACACAGTTCTTATCTAATCAGAAAATTTCATTAAAATTAAATTGTCAAATTTATTGTAAATCATTAAAATAAAATTTAATACGAGATTTAGGATGAGATTTTACACAAATTCATTTTTTTTTTATTTAAATCAATTTTGATATACAAATCATGTTGATAATCGAGAATTAAATTAGATTAAAATAAAAAATCACGATTTTCATTTTCACAGCCCTGCTTCGATGTAAGCAACGGTTGACACTCACACAAGTCTTGTGGGGATGATTTCTCGAGCTCAATTTATCCTCTTGAAGGCTGGAAAGCCTATATATTGGCACAACCCCTGATCAACCTTTCTCCCATGATCGATCAATGATTTAATATATCTTTTATGCCAGTTTTCTATTTATGATATGACCTCTAAAATCCCGGCCCTCTAAAGGTTAAGAGTCGTTTGTGACAATATAACTTAACTGTAATAATAGCAATTGACAAGCGCATCCATAAGATTTACCTAATACATTCAGTAGTCACTAAGTCGTTGCTCTAACTGCTCGGTCGTCTTCAAACTGCTTAGATCATCTCCCTCGAAAAGTTAGTTTAAACAAGATTTGTTTATTCTTTTCATTTTTTTAAAGGCTTTATTTTTCGGTATGAAAAATCTCAAGTTTAAAAAAAAAATATTTAGCAACATTTAAAAACATGAGTCTATGTGACGAAACTACACATAGGGGGCTTTATAAGTAAACAACAGGAAACCCTAAAAAATTGTGGCCGGTACGTATCCGAGACCTAGTGGTAGGGAAAGTCTTTATGTCAGTATGAAGGTTCTTTAAATTTGTAAAATTTGTAATAAGAGATCATACAAAATCCAAGTTAAATCAAGCTCAATTTATCATAATAAAATAAGTTTTAGAAATGCATACTCAAATAATTGTGACTGCATTTCCTAACATTTACGAATCATGCTTTAATTTGAGGGTTTATGGTACTATACAGAAAAAATGCTAGTTTTTACTATTACCGACTTGTAACAATTCTTTATTGGACAAAAGTTCATTTTACAAAAATTTTTTGAAAATAACAAAAAATTTAATGGAGCCCCGACGGAAATGTTTCTCCTAAGAAAGTTTTATATGGTCTAAAAAAGTCTTACAAATGTTCGGATTTCGTACACCTGATTAATGATTTTAAAGAGTTAATAAGAGTTTTTAAAAATTTATAAAACCTTGTGGATACACAATTTCTTAGCAAAAATGTTTAGTTTTTTTTTCCATTTTTTTTATTTTTTCTACATTGTTCATATAGTTGCTTGTATATTTTTTTCATCATGACTTTTGGCGACTGTGGATACCGATCAAAAAAGTCTTTAAAAATATTGAAAATTTTGATCAACACATAATAACTCTTAACAACTCTTAATAACTCTTTATAACAATTATTGTAACTTGTAAACATTTTTTTTAAATTAAATAAACAATTGCCTTACCCGTCTGAATATTGCAGAAACCAAATATCAGGTTTCACATAAATTTAAAAAATTTATTTATATCATTTAAAACTCTTATAAAGTTTTATTAACTCTTAAAAATCATGGTACAAAATTCGAACATTTATAAGAATTTTTAAGACTTATTTAGACTTTTAAAGAGTTTTTAAGAGTTTTTAAAAATTAGAGTGGCGATGAATTTCCGTAGGGGAATTGCAGCATTATATACTTGTGAAATTTTCAGGAATTTTTGAGGCATTTGAATGTTATTTCGAATTACGATTGGTTCTTCTTCTATTGTTTTTTTCTGACCATCAACTAAACTGGTTTTCAATACAGCAATTACAAATAATTAACAAATTACTCAAATGTCTCACAATCCAATTTTTTGCAATCAAATTTCAAAATTAATGTGACCTAGTTCATTATCGATTATGAGTTAATATATTTTCTATTTTTTTTCGGTAGAGTTTGAATGAATACACATAAAAAGCTAAGTTCTAAATAATCATTGCAATTTCTTTTGAAATTTATTAGTATGAGTGAAAACCTTTTGAACTGAGGGTAATAAGTAAATAAAAGATTAAATTTTTATAAAAAAATAAACGAAAATAAAAATTAAAATTCGATAATTTACTGTACTGCATGCGCATTTATAAATTTTGAAAGATTGAATGGTTCTAGTAATAATTGGCATAACCTTTTTTGGTGTATGACACTTCATAAATGTAGAATGTTTAAAAAAATGTTCTAACATGAATGAGAATTTCAATTAAATTAATTATACTTTATTATATTTTTCACCCTATAAACCTAAAACATTTATTCGTAGATATGTTGATGATTTTTTAAAAATTACAATTTATTTACTAAAGAATCTAGTATTTTTTATTCGAAAAATGCATATATATTTTCTATATTTTGTGTCAATCACTAATCAAGTTTAACTGAAGCCTTTCACGCACTTAGTTAAATGAGCAAAACAGAGATTGGTTGGACTATATATGTTATGAATGTTAAAATAAGATAGTAAGTCAGATGATAAGTGAATAAACCTTCTCAAGTCTTGTTCAATGTTCAGTGTTGACGCTTCTGTTAGTACGTGACCACGTGCTTCGTATTGTAACAACTGTAATTGTGAAGTTCTGAGTCACACGTATACAAACGTCAATTTTATTAGCTGTCGGAAATTGAAAAAAGTTCTTCATAACGGGTAAATAAAATTTGGCTTTTAATTTTACATTTAATCATGAAAACATTGAAATATATTCATTTGTTGTATTGCAAATTAGTTCTCAAGTTTCTTTGCATAATATTCATTAACTAATATCATTGTCATAAACAAATATCATTGATTAATTTAAAAAAAATCGAATTGAAAGCTCAAAACAATTTTTAGAAAACTCCATTATTTGAGTATAGGAGTTATTAAAATACTTTTTTAAAACATTTTGGTCATTAATTTACGATCAATATAGAAAAATTGAAAAATAAATAATTATTTAAATTTAATGTATAATATATTCGATTCTTTAATTTGGTTTTTGGAAATTCTATGAGTAACGTTTTTTTGTTATTAAACTTGAAATAGTTGTAGTAGTGATAGCATAATAAATTTCTTTTGTGATCCATAAAATTTTAGAATATATCATAAGTGTAAAATAATAAACTTTTTATAAATGCATAATACACGTTATGCATTTTGACGATATACGCATGATGATCAGATTTTTTTCTCAATCTTTTCACAGACCATGATTAGGAATTTACTTGACAGATCAAAAGATTGTTATAAGTGAGGTAAATATGACTATTTCTATGTTCAGTTAGAGATATTTGCAACAGAAAATTTTCTTTAATTAGACAAATGAGAATCAAACGTATTACATGTAATGAATAATATTCTCAGCTATCACTTGCTACAACCTAATATTTTTAATTACGTTTACGAAAATATGAAAGTAAAACCAATGTTCATAATCTATTTTAGGAATATCATATTTGAAAATAGAACATTTAACAAGACGAGTTATAGCGAAAATTCCTTATTATGACTCATGAACCATCATTTTCTTAATCATATTACGAAAAAGGAAAACTTGAAAAAAAGTCAAATTCAGATGAAACTCATCAAAGGATTTGGCGTGAGACTAACAGACAGTCTCAGGTGCGTATTATTTAAAGTTTCATGTGAATCTTAAACGGGTGTCTTATGAAACTGAAATTCAAAAAAGTGGGTATCTTTTCATTTGTATTTCAACCGTATGATCGATAAAAATTTGAATTTAAATCAATTATATTCCCGACAAAAAGTTTCATACTGTAATTTCTGTCTGGTTGACATTTTAGATGAAATTTTAGCTGCAATTCATTTTTTGCGAATTTAGTTTTTTTTTGTATTGAAAATAACTTTCTGAAAAAAGTGAGGGAAAACGAAGTAATTATCAAAGATGAATAGTTCACTTTCGATTGAAGACAAAAAACTTAACTATTTGTCTAGTACTTGAGAAGTTAGATTCTGAAGTAGAAATTTTTTTTATATTTCATTTAAAGGTCAGATTTATGTCATTTGTGTGGGAAATTATGTACCAAGAAACCTTCTTCTAGACACTTTCATCTTTCGTTTCTTTTAGCAGTTAAGATTTTAAGTAAAAGCCGTTAAATAAAATATTCTTTGAATATTGTAATAGTAAGATTTTCTAAAAACAAATATTGTTTTGAAGTGAATCTTTGTTACGTGCATTGGATATAGGAGGTCTAGCCATGAAAAACGAGTGTCTATACGTCCGTATAGGTGCTATAATTGAAGGTTTTGTAGCTCTGTTTGCTTTGCGTGTTGCGATTGGTCGGCGTTCGTCAAGCTCGAGACTCAGCTACCTCCACTCAACTGTGACACGTATACAATTCTATCTCTTGTGATCACTTGCGTCGTTTGAGTTAACAGTATTTATGCGTGCAGTTTAGTCAGCAACATATTATAGGACCCTTGTAAGGCTCGTGCTATATTTACATGCATATACGTCTATACTCGTGAAATACTGTAAATCAAAGGTGTATAAGCACCCAGTTGAAAAAAATTGCGTGGATGTCCAGGTGGATTATCCATCCTGATTCCACGTGGATCATACAGGGATTCCTCGAGGATCGGACATTGATTCCACGTGGATGGAACATGGATCATATAAAGAGTCCACGTTCGTAAGCCTCGTAGATTTATGAGATATCCGCGTTGATTTTCGATCAACCCACTTGGCATTCCGCGGAAATCCTCGTTGATTTTCAATCAACCCACGCGGCTTTCCGCAGAAATCCTCCTGGATATACGAAAATCCTCGTTGATTTTATATCAATCCCCGCGACTTTCTGCAGAAATCCTCATGGATATATGGAAACCCTCATGGATATTCGATTATCCACGAGGTTTTTTGTGGTAAAATCCTCGTGGATTTTGAGTGAAAAATCCTCAGGTGTTTTTTTTTTTAAATTAAGAATTGTCAGTAATTTTTTAAATTATTTACTTAATAATTTAGATTATTTTTAAGATTTATCTAAGATTTATTTACTTTTATACTTTAGAGAAGTGAAAAAGTTCCCCGAGATCTGGGCTTAAACCGGTGATCTGTCGGTTACAATTCCAGCTCCCTACCTCTTGAGCTATTCATTGATTATACTAGAGGTATCGAAGCATTTATATTAATGAGAAGTGTGTATGCATTTTTTTCAAGTTCTTTTAATATCTTATTATATTTATAGTACCACAATAGAAAAACTAGTTTACAATATAATCACAATTTTAAAAGCTTGCTTTCGCTCTTACTCTGGATGGGTACTAGGTTAGGATCCGGACTCGGCGATGACTTTCTTCGGGTAGTCGTGATTTTTTGATGATGAGTACCCGAAGAAAGTCATCGCAAAGTTCAGTTCTGACTTGGAGCCAAAAATAGGCTACCCGGATGATATTCTCACACGAATAATTCAACTACCCGAAGAAAGACTATTTGGCATGATTTTCACCTGATAATTCACCTGACTTTTATTCTGATTTTTTCCAGCGGGGTTATTCAATTATCCTCGAAGATCAGTGGAAAATCCGAGAAGATTCACTGACGAGACCTCGCGGATTCTTCTAGCGTTCTCTAGAACAAGTCAAAAATCCACGAGGATTGAACAAAAATTAACGTGAATCAGTGGAAAATCCGCGTTGATTCATCGACGAAACCTCTTGGATGTTTCGAGCGCGTGTTCGCGAACAAGTCCAAAATCAACGAGGATTGAAAAAAAATCAACATGGATCAGTTGAAAGCCCGTGGCGATTGCATTTTTTTCGAACCTTGATCGATCCACGCGGAATCCCTGTACAATCCACGTGGAATCCCTGTATGATCCACGTGGAATCCCTCTATAATCCACGTGGATAACTAATTCTCGTGGATTTCCAAGTGGATAATTAATTCTCGTGGATTTCCAAGTGGATAATTAATTCTCGTGGATTTCCACGTGGATATTCACGCAATTATTTTCAACTCGGCATACATACACTACTGGAATCTGACTTGGTCAGTACATCACGATGACAAATTGGCCATTGTAAGCTACATTATAAATAGCATTGGTACTCTAAGGCTGCGATACGTCTTTTGCTTATCTTTCAATTAGGGGTTGAGTTTCAAAACAAGGGCTTGAATTTAAACAATGATGCTATAAATAGATTATGTATATGATTATGCGGGTCATACTAACAAGGAGACCTTCTCACCTTCGGGTCATGGATTTGCTCCAAAATTTTTTTGGGGTCTTCTGGTACTCTATACTGAAGCTCTCTGTGCTTAGTTTGATCTCTTGGGCCTTAGGGCCCATTTTTTAGAGGATTTTCCACATTATAAAAACATCTTTGTAATTTTCTATATCGATATAGAAGTACTTAAACGAAAAAGTGCAACGATAAAAAGTTTTTTAATTTTTCAAAGAATCTGCTTGAATTTTTTCAGAATTTTTGGGACCATCTACCATTCTCTTTACGAAGTCCTAAAATCTACTGAAAAAGCGTCAAATTTGGGCCTCTTGAATTAAGTGATAGATGGTCCCGAAAATTCTGAAAAAATTCAAGCAGATTCTTTGAAAAATTAAAAAACTTTTTATCGTTGCACTTTTTCGTTTAGGTACTTCTATATCGATATAGAAAATAACAAAGATGTTTTTACAATGTGGAAAATCCTCTAAAAAATGGGCCCTAAGGCCCATGAAATCAAACTAAGCACAGAGAGCTTCAGTATAGGGTACCAGGAGACCCCAAAAAAATTTTGGAGCAAATCCATGACCCGAAGGTGAGAAGGTCTCCTTGTAAGTTTCAACGTAAATACAGCGGGCCACATCATATAGTATAGGAAAACCCTAAATTTATCACAACAAGCCTCTGACATTTTAGTGTTATGTATTTAAACAAATCGTATTCAGTAAGAGTCCCATTACATGAGTGGAAAATCCAATCTAATGTAGTAATTGTTAAATTACACTGTACATGCAGAGCTAAGAAAACTGGAAGTTCAAGTATGCCATTGCTACATTGCTCTATAAACCGGTAAATAATTTCACGCTATTACTCTATTTATATATTTCTTAATTGATTTTATATTCATATGGGATATATCGCGTTAACTGTACCCCCTTGAAAAAATTAAGTAAAAATAAAGTATGTATTTTTGAAAAGTTCATTGAAAAAATCTAGACAATATCCATCCCTCATGGATCTACGGGGAATCAAAGTTGGAATTTCATTTTTTTAAATTTCATTCTGCTTTCCAAGGTTGAATATAAAAAAATTGTTGAATTCAGATTTCTATCAAATATCATATGTATAACCTAAAAATCAATTAAAGTTCAAAAATAGCATAAATGTCAAAAAATAAACTTATTAGTATTCATCGATTAGGCCGTTATGGAAATATGTTCAATGATACAACTTTGGATGAATGACCAAAATTTAGAAGAAGTCATCATTGGGTCAGTCGATGAACTTATTACAATATTGACATAATCCATGAACACGGAGCATGCTTATATTTTTTACTTTTATGCTATTTTTGAATTTTAATGAGTTTTTAATGAACGAATTTTATGAGTTTTGTTAACAAATCTGAATTACTAATCAAATTTTACATAAAAATCACGTTTTAACAATTTTTTCTTGTTCGCCCTTGGAAAGCAGAATAAAATTTAAAAAATGAAATTCTAATTTTGAGCCCCTGCAGATCTATGAGGGATCGAGGGGACTAAAATTGTCAGGGTTTTCATTTTTCAATGAACTCTTCAAAAGTACATACTTATTTTTTACTTCATTTTTTCAAGGGAGAACAGTTGACGAGATATAGTCCATATACATGATTATGTCAGTTTAGTGCTATGATTAATTACACAGACACACAAAAAAAAAATTTTTAAATCCACCGACCGGACTAGTGGACTTTATGTTTTTGGGGTCGCTGAATTCGAATCCGGGATCGGTTTTTCAAGGTTGGCTCATTTTAGGGGTCATTTGAAGGTCAAATAATGGGAAAGTGGTAAAAAATCTGAAAAAATTCATACTTGGGTTTTTGAGGATGCTGAATCCAAATCCGAGGTTGGATGACCTTCAGGAGGTCACCTTCAAGGTCATTTGAAGGTACAACTTCAAGAATTCAGTAAAAATATCCGAAAAAATCACACCTATGTTTTGATGGTCGCTCAAGCTGAATCAGAGGTCATTTTGACTGTATCCAGCCATGTAAAGGTCATTTGAAGGTCATTTTAAGGTCAGACCACGAAAAAAGCTTTAAAAAATCTGAAAATACTAATTCATAGGTTTTTAAGAATGCTGAATTCAAATCTGAAGCCAGATGATCCCTATGACCTTGACTTCTAGTTCATTTGAATGTCAAACTTGGGGAATTCAATATAAAAATCCGAAAAAATCACATTCCTATTTTGAGGGTTGCTGAATCTCAATCATTGTTCATATTGACTATACCTAGTCATTTTAAGGTCAATTGGTGGCCATTTAAAGGTCATATCAAGGGTTACCAAGTGAACGCGATAAAATAACAGAAAAAGATTGTGTATAGGTTTTTGGAGCTGAGGAATTCAGATATTATATTATCAAGATCAAGGTTTTTTGCATGATTTTTTCCTTTTTTCTTTTGTAATGCATCTTTTTTTCTTCAAACGATCGGCGGAAAGGTTGCTGTTTTCGTTTAGTCCCTCTATATTGGCTCTTTCTCTTCTACATCCAGCAGTAATCAGCCATCATCGCAACATCCCATCTACCTTGATATCGCTGCTCCATATGTTTTATGTCTTGATGGAACCATTCTCCTTGCCCGTCGCTATAATCTCCACAGTCTTCTGGGAGCTGATCTGCGTATAGGTATGCAAGGAATACAGTTTATAAGAAATATTACATTCCATTTGTCGAAATGTTTTGTCATCATTGATATTAAAATTTTTCTATGATCGCTTCTGTAATTACCTTGAAAATTTTTTAAGCTAACCCATGTACCATGGTCCATCTAATATTTCTTGTTACAATTTTTATCGGATTTATGAGAAATAATAGATTCTCAATATTTGTAGCATTCATCATGACATTTTGGGGAAATAGAATGTAATATGTTTTATGAACTGTATTCTCTATTTAGCTATACATATAAGTCCCCAGAAAACTATGGAGATTTTGGCGACGAGCAAGGAGCATGGTCCAATCAAGACATAAAACATATGGAGCAGCAATATCAAGGTAGATAGGATTTGCGGTGATGGCTGAATGTTGAAGAGAGAGACAGTCAAAATAAGAGAGGCAAAAAATGCAAACGACAACTATTACGCCGATTGTTTGAAGAATAAAAGATGCGTTACGAAAACAAAAAACAAAAAATGCATGCAAAATTAAAAATATTTTCAAAATATTTTTCTTTCTTGTATTAATTTTTCATTGAAATGACCTTGAAGGTGACTTCATATCTGTCATCTGACTTCAGATTTGAATTCAGCATCCTTGAAAACCTATGAATGAGTATTTTAAAATTTTTCTAAGCCTTTTTGGTGATCTGACCTTAAAATGACCCTTACATGACCTTTACATGGCCGGATACTGTCAAAATGACCTCTCATTCAGATTGAGCGACCCTCAAAACATAAGTGTAATTTTTTAGGATATTTTTACTGAATTCTTGTAGTTTGACCTTTAAATGATCTTGAAGGTGACCTCCTGAAAATCATCCGACCTCGGATTTGGATTCAGCGTCCTCAAAAACCTATGTATGAATTTTTTCAGATTTTTTACCACTTTCCCATTATTTGACCTTCAAATGACCCCTAAAATGAGCCAACCTTGAAAAACCGACCCCAGATTCGGATTCAGCGACCCCAAAAACATAAACTGCACTAGGTCCGGTCGGTGGATTTGAAATTTTTTTTTTGTGTGGCTGTGTTGTCATAATATTTCTCTTATTTTCAGTAGAGACGCCTCGGAAATCCTTTCATGTACGGACCAAAAGTGTTCATAGAAGAAGATGCTGAAAACCCATTTAGTGAAGTACAATGTAGCTCATTTTATGCAGTATCCTTGCTTATAACAGCCTAGAAAAAGAATCAAGTTAAATCAACGAGTGAATGAACCACTCGTCAAGAAGAATGATTCTGTCATTACTTTAACCATGATCACAAGGCGAGTTTTCACAATATAATAGATTATAATTACCGTGCCGCTGTGCCCATGTTTCGTTTGATGGTCAGGGTGGTACCCGAGGAGTGCATCTACTTCGCTGATGTCGACGCCTGCAAAGTTATCGATGCCTTCAAACGCGCACGCTCCAACGCTCGGGGAGCAGATACTCTAGGCCTTGATCAGCTGCGGCTCTGTCTCCCTCATCTACTGCCCGTGCTATGTCACATATCCAGTGTTGCCTCGTTTCGGGTCGGTACATTTTCAAGACTTGGGAAAGAAACGCTGGTGCGCTCGCTGCCTAAGCGATAGCCGCTCGATGCGAGTCATTTGCGATCGATAAGCATACTTTGCTTGCTATCGAGAATTTATTTGTGTTTGTGGCCCTCAATAGAATGAGCAACTTTGTGGAAGAGTGTGGTTTCCTCGATGACTTTCAGTCCAGCTTCCGTATATGTCACAGTACCCAGATTACGCTTATAAGTGTGGTGGATGGCTTGTACGGTGGTGTTGAGAGTGGGGAGAGGTCACCTTGATGGTCGTCATCGACTTCTCCCGAGCTTTCGACATGGTGCTTGGACACTATTTGAGGCGGCATCAGAATTCGGAATAACTTTTACATCTTTATTGTGCTTATCAAATATATTTTTATACTTATTGCTATTAATTGTATCCATGCTTGTATATAATCTTGGTTATTATATTTTAAATGCACTATTATTTAATTGCGTCTTATAATTGTTAATTTAGCCTAATTTTGCTTATTGTTTGTATCACCAAGGAAAGGATTGTTAAAAAGAGTGCACAAAGAATCCTGTATTGGCTAACACGTAACTCCATTAAACTTTGAAACAGTCTACAGGGTGCTAAAAAATCGTAGAGAACTCTTTTTTTATGAGTCTCATTCGGTTTTTTGGAATTGTTACTATTATTATTATAAATCATAACATATTTTTGATCATTGAAAAATTTCTGCAATTATTTCCTAAAACCCTTGTACTTTTAATAATTTTTTGAAAAATACTTGGAAAACAAAAGTATTAATAAAATATTTATGATTTCACAGTAACATAAATAAAACGTCGAATAATTCAGTGATGAATTACATCTACGAGAGATGTTAGTTACTTGACAGTAAAATTTTATATTAAATAGAAGATTTTAGAATACAGCATTAGATTACGCTCGAACTAGTATAAGATATTTCCTATTTCTTTTTGTCAAGGCGGTATGGTCCTTTGGGCCTCTTTGCTTGTACTTCATGGAGCTTGCATTGTCGGTGAGTACTTTTGATACCTTATGTGAATAACTTACTTAATATAAATAATATCATCGAATTAAATTAAAGAAAAGTTATATCGTGACCAAAAATACCGTTAGTTTATGTGTATGGATGTAGTGTACTCAAAGGGACAAGATGGCGTTTCAGCTGATACTTAAATATGGCCATAACAATTAGAATAATTAAAATTATTTTTCTTCTAATTTTATGCATAAATATGGCATTTAGTGTTTGTGATATATTGTTATTTTAAGTGGAAGAGTCATGTTGCAATAAAAAGTATTAGCAAAAAATTAATAAAATTTAGATTTGTGAGCTTAGGTCAGAGTTTTTCTTGGTCAAACGCCATCGAACAAGTATTGACCCTACATTACTAACAACAAAGCTTCTTTATTTATAAAGCTCAAATGACGATCCAGCGTCGTTATTCCATTTGAGTTTTCAATGCATCTTAGAATTCCTCAAGTTCAATTTTTTATGTTAGAGCTTAATTGTGACTCTTTGTCCCATGTAAACAGTGTTTTAAAATGGTTTCCTTGAAAAGGTCAACGTGTTTGACGAAAATTCGTTAATTATAATTTTTTCAATTTTTGAATTCATAAAGTTTAATCAAAATTAATCGCAAGGAATAACCGTCAATGATAGCAATTTTTCAATTAATTGAAAAAAATCTCACTGTGTTCTATTTTAATAAGTTCAGGTACCTTTTCCACATTTTTGGGATCGATATAAGTTGAAACGTATGATGGTCTGAACCTCAGTTCATGCTCGCCCTCGGACGGTGCGTACTCGTGTCGTTGTACAGCGTATTCGCTTCGCCTCGTCTCGTACTTTCTTGCGAGCAACTCACAAATACGCCTTCACCTCTAAATAAGTCTACTTGCTATAACGGCTCCATTGCGAATATTCATGTGCATTTTCACGCATCTCTCAATTGCATCAACACGCGAAGCGCTCGATTTGCGTTGTAACGCGAAATTATCATTAGCGCGTTAAGGCATGAGCGCGGATTTGAATTGAGCGAAAAGGAGCATGCGCGTAACTTTGCGCATAACTGTCACTCATTCACACGCTCGTGTTCGTATACTTTGCGTCATTTGACGCTCTGTGACATCGTCACAAAGTTTATATTCAAATTTTATTTTTGAAACAAAATTTAATTATAATTTGATTATAAGATATAGGAAATATCTCAATACGATTGATTATTATAGGTTCATCAACCGGAATGATTGGAATGCCAGAAAACATCACCGTTATGTTTTTAAGTCCAACTTCTGTTCGTGTTTCATGGAGCACTAATCATACAGACCATGTTGAGAAATACGACGTCATTTATAAACCAACAGATGCCAGGTGTGTAAATACTTAATAAATTTATATTTTTTTAAGTAGTTTCAAATCAACACTGAAATATATTATTTAAGCCGTGGACATATTTAAGACCTAATGACAAGCGCGTTGAATCCGCAGTCGCGTAGGCGATCTCAGAGCCTGCTGTCCCCACCACCAAACAATCTCCTCGACGGTAACAGCACGGCATACACAGCTCTTGATGTGTACAAAATTTTTCTACATATCCGCCTTTTTGAGGAGCTAAAAAGTGCATATCTAATATATATATTGCGACCACACAAATGAGTTTTGTTGTGAAGAAAGTCCGTGAACGCAGCGAGCAAGAAAGAGAGAGACAGAGGAAGGAAAGCCGAGCAAGTGCGAGTCCTCGATGTCACTGCTCTCGCGACGTAGCTCACGTGACCCAGAAATTAACTCTCACTTATTACTCCCTAGTAAGAGGAAAGAAAGAAGGAGAGCGCCCCACTCACATTGGCAACGCGTAAGGAGAATGGGAGTTCAAAGGCCAGCGCGTTGAGTTGAGTTTAATATAATCGTTCTGATAGTAAAATTCGCTTTCGGCATAATTAAGTGTTATCAAAACTTAGATTTGTGCGACATAGTTAATCATTTATCGATTATTATTTATTCTCGGGAACCAAACTCTCGCGACGCGCGAATAAATAAAAAGTCGAGACCGGGATTGAGTACGCGGCACGAGAGTTTTCTGTCGTGTGGTTGATCGCGCGGCTAATCGTGAATTCACGCCTGTAAAATCATCGTGAGTGCGCACCGCAGCGCGATTGACAAGCAGACGTGCACATTGTTCAGGGATTCGTGTGTTTTAAGGCAAAATATAGCGAATCGTAGCCAATGTGAGTAGCGACGCTACTAGATTTCACCTCATCAAGTACAAGAGGTTCCGGACCAGGTCTTAAAGTTTAATAAGCTCTTGCACAATTCACTCTGTTTCAACTTATGTTTGACATCAACCGTGCTCTATGCAAGGGAGAGACAGAGTGAATACATTTCATTCATTTCGGGTAACCCCATAATTGTGAGGTCTCTAGCGAAATTCATGTGCAGGGACCAACCATCACGTTCAAGTGGGGCCCCAGGAGCAGCTCTCAACAAGTCAACATCAACTCTTAAGGTAAAGTCCATGTAGGGTCAACAAGCAAGGCTGACCAAGCTTCACAAGTGGAAGTAGTCAGTGAGCTTGTATCACCTAATTCGGGCGTTATAAGTTACAGAGTCATCATTTATAAAAGAGTACTGTGTACTGAAAAGTAAAGCTAGTCATTCAATAAATGACACCTATCTGATATTCACTGTTATTGATTTGTACGACATCACCTATCCCGTGTCGAATTCGATTAATTAAATTTCATCCTCGCTTCGGTAAGACTGTATTGGGACGGAGTCGAGGTACACGCGAGATCAGTCTATTATTCGCGTAGGCACTTGGGAACGCGTAGGCTAACGCACGTGCGCTTAGAAAACTCGCGACGCGACCAAAGTGCAATCCCAATATAGACGTTAATAAGGTCCCGCCGCCTCTTGGATCCCCTCCTTCTCCCGCCCCTCCAAATAACGTAAAATTGTTTCATTTTTCACTGTATTTTGATGGCTCGCCTTATCCACGCTCCCCTCCTCAAGTGGGTGGAGCCCCCCTAGTTTATATATATTTATGAAAAAAAGTTATTTAGCATGTAAACAAAGAGCTGTGGACTGCACTGGAATGATGTTCGACTTTGCTTGTTCAACCAATTCTTGCAGTTCTTTATTTATACTAGCGAATTACCTCGCTCGCTGACGCTCGCTCGTCTGCATTTTTAAAGTCACTGTTACTGTTTGTGAATAGATTCAAAGTTCATCTTGATCAACGGAGGTGTTTGTTCGTTCGATAGATCAATGCTAGGTTATGAGCTACGTCGCGCGAGATACCTCGCCGGTCAGAATAGCGGTGAATCTTTTCAATGCCGTCCTCGACTGTATTGAAGTCCTACTCGGCTGTAATAGGCCTAATACAGCCTAGTAGAATCATTACAGCCGAATAGCGCTGCTCAACTGTACGAAACCCTATTACCCACACAGCTTGCTCAGCGCGTAATAAGCCTCAAACGGGCGAGTATGTTAAAAATCTAATTACGTACTTATGTTATTTTTGTCGCGTACGCTTTGCTATTTAAAGCCACCTGGTCCGATTTCGCATGATGCTACCGATGTCGATGAAGTTTGTTTAGGATGTGAAAGAATGCATTAATACCCTCACTGAATTAGTGACTTCTGCAATGGCCACGGTTTTTTTGGTAATAAGTAGTAGCACCGACTATACTGCATCTAAAATCCGTGATAATATTGTACCCATTTGATGAACACAATATTCAAAAAATCACTCTTAAAAAACAATTTTCACAATAATCACATCCAACACAAAATATCACAAATTTTAGCAATGATAATTGCTGATTAAGAATTATTTGGACATTAATAAGTATTTATATTGAGGGACATATTAATATTTAAGGGGTTACATAGCTTTGTATACAGGACATTATTTTTTTGTCGAAAATGTGCGAATTTTTACTCAATTTCACTCAGCCAAGAGTATAAGCTTTAAGAAATATGTAGACTTTTTGGTTTCCGATGATCCTGTTAGGAAATATCCTGCCTACCGCAACAGAACAGGATGACCGAGGAAAACTGATGGAAAATCAACAATTTTCAATATATTCTTCTGCAATTTTTTTTACAGTTTCTGTCTAATGGATAAACATCATTGCGTAAAAATTTCAAATTGATCAAACTTTTGGTTTTTAAAATATAATTTTTCATGAAAAAAAAAGTTCTGTTTCACAAAGTTATGTAACCCCTTAATCAAAGTGATTTAATACAAATGCTGAACTCAGGTGATAGTAAATTTTTACATATTAACAATAAGATGGTCAAGCTGGTTATAAAAAAATGGTTTAACGGTTGGTTATACGATACGGTTATAAGAACGTTTGTTTCAATTTTAGTGCGAACGGCAGCTTACGTGAAAGTTTGACTGCGCATTAACATATGGGCTATATCGCGTCAAGCCTAATCGGTGAATATGAACATGTTTATTTTTGATAATAAATTGATTTTGGATTATAAATTTGAATTCCTCATCAAATTTTACATCAAAAATCATGTTTCAACAATTTCTTCATATTCACCCTTGGAAAGCAGAATAAAATTTGAAAAATGAAATTACAATTTTGAGCCCCTGAAGATCCATGACGGATGCACCTATAGGGTTGAAACGTTCAGGATTTTCATTTTTTAATTACCTCTTCAAAAGTACGTACTTAGTTTTTATTTCATATTTTTGAGGGGGGACAGTTGACGCGATACAGCCCATATACACAAATATGTATAAATAGCACTTCTCGATTAAAATTTGACAATTAATTCAACATCGAAATTGCAGGAAACGAAAAAAAAAAAACAACAATTTCTGACATTTATACTTCTTTACATTTTTCTCTCAAACTTATTTCCGAAAATCACGAGTCTGTTTCCTTCTAAGATTATTGTAAAAATTAATTTATTAAAAAAAATTTAGTAACCTTAAAAATGATCAAAGATATAATTGATATCCCTCTCTATTTTTAAGACTATAATTTGTTTCCTTGTTGCCAACCTTTAACAAAAAAAACCTTATTCTATAAACGAAAAATAATTAAAAATGGTTAGTTACAGGGTAGTTGCTGTAGTAGCTGGTAATAGTGAAGCTATCACACTTGGTAATCTCCGATCTAATACTCAATACCAGTTAGTTGTTACTGCTGTTAAAGATAACAAAAAACTGCGAAGTCGACCTATCGTCTTCCGTACACTCGGTAAATATATATGTATATTTTTCATGTATTACGATGTATATTTTAATATTATTACCTTTATTATTTTGTAAAATAACTATTATGTACAAGATATGTAAACATAAAATCTTGGATGGATTACATGAATCATTAGTTGACCTATTCAAAATTATTGCATAAAACTGATTCATTTATATACAAATAGAAAAAATAAATTATTCATACGAAATTTAGGAGTGCTGGACAAATCATCTTTTGACAACTCAACCTGGACCATTTATCCTGGCGACTATTTATCCTCGTCATTTTTTTAACTTTATTTCATTTTTGCGTGTATGTATATATCGTCGCTCCAGTACAAAAACCGCTCTAATAAAGTCGAGTGACAAAAACATGCCTTATTCGAGGGGGACAGCTTAGTGAGTGCTTAGTGGCGCTCAGCGGCAAGAACGTGTTCTATTCAAGCGCGGCGGCAAGTAGGTGTCTATTCGGCGCCGAATCTTTTACGCTTCGATTTTAAGTTGGCAGCACTGCTAAACATCACCAGCTCAACTCGGCACAGACACGCGCTTTTGCCTTCGTCTGCAGTTCACTGTTTGTATATATATAAGTTGAAGTATTAAAAATGTATGGTCGTTGCGTTGTGCTGTGTCGTCGCATCAAGTCAAACAGGTAAGTATGAATTGTTCATCTAGTTTCTTATCTAATTAATTTGTTGTAATTCTATATTTAACCTTGAACAAAACGATACCGTTGCAATACTTTGTTGCAATTTCTATACGCTTTCTATATGCGAAGAAGCAGGCAGCAGGCGAAAATAATTTGAACGCTGCGTCAAAGACAGCAACGACAATAACAGTAGCAGCATCAACAACAACAGCAACAATAAGCTCAGCTATCAAAAGGGTTGGTTTGAGAGTTTAGGGATAAAGAGTCGATCAAGACTGAGATAGACACAAATGCTGTTGGTACAAATGCAACATCTCAGATCTGTTCACAGTGTTGACGATTCACGTACAATCGTACTGTACGTAAAGAATCGGAGCAACTAATTGGGAATGCACTCGAGCAAGAGGTGGAATGGCTAGGCGACAAATGAAAAAAGCAGATAACGTTACTTAATGCTGGGATCGAGCTTATTATTAATAGAACAAAAAAAAGTAATAATTTAAATGGACGATGAAGTACAATCAATAATTGACATGCGACCTGGTAGATTAATATATCTCGAGTGAGTTACGTGTCCTGAAGACTGGACCGGACCTAGCAGCTGGAGCAAGTGCGGACACAGAACAGAGCAGCGGTGAGATACTTGAGAGGCCTCTCTCTTCGTGCGATCCGCACGGAACCGAGGCAAGCTGAACAGTGAGGCTAAGCCGGTCCAGACTGGAGGATTCCAAATTACGCACATTTCTGCGCATCTCATCGGGCATCGCGATAATACCGACGTACAGAGGGCGGATACTTGAACACACAGTTTGTGCAAAACAGATCTGAGGTATTATATAAAAATTGTATTGGCACCGTACAAACTCTATATCTCAGAACTATTTTGTACAAACTGTGAAGAGATCTGAGGTGTTGCGTTTGTACTGATAGCATTTGTGTCGAACTCAGTATTGATCTACTCTTTATCCCTTAACTTTCAAACCAACCCTTTTGATAGCTGAGCTTGTTGTTGCTGTTGTTATTGATGCTGCTGCTGTTATCGTCGTCGCTGTCTTTGTTGAGCATTCAAATTATTTTTGCCTGCTGCCCACTTCTTCGCATACTCTGGATGTAATTGCCACCAGTCATATGCAACACAAAAAAAATTATTGGCAAAGAACTTCCTCATAAAAAATAATATTAATAAAAGGCATCGGTTATTAACGTGAAAATTCGTAATTTTAAATTTTAATTCAATGTCTAGTGTCCTAACTACCAGACGATCATTTCTATGTTAGCCAAAAAGCCGAGAAAACAAAAACTCATACAGACATTTGTTGGTAATTCAATGTAGTTTCCAAATATGTAAACCAAATTGTCCTACGACGTCTGGTTCCAAATCTCGATTTCAAGCCTATCACAGGACTTCCTCTATGAGGAAGCAATTAGAAGTTGCAAAAATGGGTAACTTATTAGTTAGATTACGTAAAGAAGAATTGAAATATAGAAAGAGAATAGAAATTGCAACAAAGTATTGCAACAGTATCGTTTTGTTCAAGCTTAGATATAGAATTGCAACAAATTAATTAGATTAGAAACTAGATGAACAATTCATACTTACCTGTTTGACTTGATGCGGCGACACAGCACAATGCAACGACCATACATTTTTAATACTTCAACTTATATGTATACAAACAGTGAACTGCAGACGAAGGCAAAAGCGCGTGACTCTACTCAGATGAGCTGGTGAATCTAGCAGTGCTGCCAACTTAAAATCGAAGCGCAAAAGATTCGGCACCGAATAGACACGTTCTTGCCGCTGAGCGCCACTAAGCACTCGCTATGCTGTCGCCCACGAATAAGGCATATTTTTGCCACTCGACTTTATTAGTGCGGTTTTTGCACTGGGGTGACGATATGTGGGTCAAAATTATACTTTTTACAAAACCGAGCGCACGTATGTCACCGATTTTGACGCACTTTTGGTATATTATAGTACATGTGAAAAAAGTGCCAAAACCAAAATTTTGGACCCTCTCCCCCTCCTACCCCCACTTCCGGTATAAACGTCTATTTTTTATTTATATCTATATTCTGAAGCCCTGAAGTAATTAAAAAATCTGAAAAAATTCATAAAAATACTTTTCAACAATTCAAACATTCCTAAGAATTTTTTCAGATTTTTTGAGTTCTTCAAGCCTTCAGATAAAATCATTAAAAATTCTGAAAATCGAGATATGGCGATATGAGCCGATGTAGAACTCGGAAATTTTTTTAGTTTTTTATCGCATCGGAAAACATAACCTCAATATTTTTCAGATTTTTTGAGATTACCTAACACATCTTTTGAAGCCAAAAACCACATTTTTTAACAAAAATTATTTTTTTAGGACGATACGGAGCCTCAAAAATCTGAAAAAATTATTTTCAAGTTTTTTTAATCAAAATGCATAACCTCAAATTTTTGCAGATTTTTTAACTGAAGGCGATAAATTCTAGAGCTGTAAAATGCTATTTTTAACCAAATAGGTTCCTAGAACCCAATGGTTACGGTAAAAAAATTTGAAAATATTTTTTTTGTATTCTTTGTCAAATTTTAATAAATTTTGACCGTTTCAAGTTTTCGATTGTACCCTTTTAGTTAAATCTTGAGCATCACAAAGATCAATGCAAAATTCTGAAGACATTTCCGAAGACTTTAAGGAATAATAAAACTATTTTGATGCTTTAGATTGAGCTTAACAGCCTCAATCGAAAACTTAAAACGGTCAAAATTTATTAAAATTTGACAAGAAATTCAAAAAAAACATTTTTTGGCTCTAGAAGTTATCACCTTCAATTAAAAAATCTGAAAAAATTTGAGGTTATGCATTTTGATTAAAAAAACTAGAAAATAATTTTTCCAGATTTTTGGAGGCTCCGTATCGTTATAAAAAAATAATTTTCGTTAAAAAAAAGCGGTTTTAATTACTTCAGGGCTTCAGAATATAGATATAAATAAAAAATAGACGTTTATACCGGAATTGGGGGTAGGAGGGGGGAGAGGGTCCAAAATTTTGGTTTTGGCACTTTTTTCACATGTACTATAATATACCAAAAGCGCATCAAAATCGGTGACATACATGCGCACGGTTTTGTAAAAAAGTATTATTTTGACCCATGTGTATTTGTGTTTTCAGCTCGCTTCAGTGTCATATTATTGTTGCTTGTTTAAATTTATGTGTTTTCGTATTTTCAGCTCGCCGCACCATTTAATTGTATTGTTAATTTGTTCAGTCTATAATTATAGAATTGTTGACTCGCTATTGTACGCTGTCCCAAATCAAAAATTATTTTCGCTGTTTACCTATTTTACTCGACATAGACTAGCGTCTTTGACATTCATTTAGAGAGTGAAATCGTTATGTGCGAAATTAAAAATGTTACATGTTTTTCTCTATACACGATAATATTGATTTTCTCGCTGAGTTCGTGAAACATTGATCGCTCGCATAGTCTAAGGGATAGTACTCGCAAGGACACACGCTGCATCATTTGAGATCGTTTAAAACCTAGAAATAATTCATACAAAAGTTCTTCGTTGGTAATAATCAGCCAAGAGTAGGTTATATCATTCAACACTCCGTAGTTGAAGGGTGCATCATAAAAGACGACAAATCAAACAAACTTTCTTGAAAGACAATATTGAAATCCCGAAAATCTATAGGCTAAGTCGTATGTAATAATAATTATAATTGAAATATTTGATACATTAATAAAAATCATTTTCTTAGTGATTCTATTGTAATCATGAAAACGTTTACTTTTTTAATCTTTACTACTGGTGCTCCGAAAGATTTAATTATAAGTAGATGAGTTATAACTCATAAGTGATACGACGCTTAATCGCCATTGTAATGTAGAGATACGTAAAACATTCTGGAATGGTCAGATAAAAAATGGTCTCTCTACATGCTTGTCTTTAGGAGGAATAGGTAGTAATGATAAAATAGTTAAATGTTTTTGATGTCGTGGTATAATTATGAATAGAAGTTAAAAAAAAATTAATTTGTAAAAATTACATATAAAACAACTTATTGATTATAAAAAACTAAAAAATTTTTATTCACACAGAACCTACCAAACCGCATTTACAAGATGTTAGCATAAAAGCATCTTCACCTCTACCGCCTCTTCAGCAACAAAGAACATACATTCAGGTAAATTTTTGGTTTACTTTCCAATTAATACTTAATATTTTTCCATACTATTTCAGGTATGTTTCGAAAGTGTATAAAAAAGGAAATAAAAGGCCTCACGGACTTAACTGACTTTAACTGGTTACGTGATATTTTACGTATCCAAAGCCCGTTGCTTTGTGTACATTTAGAAAAACCTATGAATAAGTACATGCTTTTTTGTCATAAAATGAATAAGCTTTTTTACTACTGCCATCGTCCTTAAAAGATATTCATGAAGAGCAAAGGAAAATATGGCTTCCGTGTAATTTCCAAAACAGTTTCTTTATTAATTTATATCATATGGCTTCTTGTAAATTCTCACATGCTACAAAAGTATGCGTGCATCCTTTCAATAAGTTGGTTGACTCTTTTCCATGTCATTTGAAAAGGGTCTAGAGCTTTCCGCGAGTTTTAGATCTCATCGAATAATTTTTATGTCAAAATTTCAACCTTTCAGGTCATACAGGTTTTAAAGTATAAAAGCTGTGCACGTGTTGCATACAAAATTTTATGCAATAGTAAGCGAAAACTACCTTCAATTTTAACGAGGCATTTTACCACACACCAGTGTCCAAAATGAGGCATTTTACCGCACACGAGTGTCTAAAAACACTTTTTTAACACTGCGTGAAACAAGGGCGTTCTAACCTTAAAGCGTCAGAAAACCCTAGTTTCTCGCAAGCAGAGTTAAAAAATATCGTTTGCAACTAGTCCGCGAGGAAGTTGACTCACCCAGGAGTCATTACACCCTCGCTACGCTCAGGTGAAAACAACTCCTAGATGAGTCACCTGATTCGCGCACTTGTTACAAAATATACTATTTGCACACTAAAAAATGTGCGAAAAAATACATTTTTTGCCATACTATTGCATAATATTTTGTATGCCACACGTGCCCACCTTTTGCGCACAGTGTGCGAAAAAGGACACGGTGCTGGCCATGCCCAAAAACGCCTTTTGGGCACTTGTTTCATAAATAACTATTCTAAATTTAGAGAGTCGAAACGTTCGTCTACAATACGACAAAATCTTGCCGTTGCCTTGGGTCTTTCAGATTCTTCTAACTCCAAATCACACTCACAAGTTTCCTAAGCTGCGGCAAAACTTCTACATAAAACTTGCGCTGACAAAGAAACTTTTATCTTCTCATTTTTAGGATCAACACGTCACTGCCTAATCTTAGTTGCTGGCTTAGTTGCAATTCTTCTTTGTTTTGCAAATCGACCAACTTTCGGAAATAATTCAAAAAAATCACATAACCATCTCCGCTCGTAATGTCTGTTGCGTATAACAAATTTTGAGCAAGCTTCAACATATGGCATGTGTCAAGTGAGGTATAAATAGGTTTTTTCGAGATGAGATATTTGAACGATGCCGTAGACAGTTTATCATAAATCGAAGATCCCAACTAGTTGAACGTTCGGGTTGACTCTCGAGGCTGCTCGCCGAGTCGTCCGCCCGTACTAGCGTTGCTACCTATCACCGAGGCCTCTTCGTACTATCTTCCGCTAAGGAAAACTGCCTGATTCAGCTACTAAGTGTAGAGAGCCGTCGGCTAGTTTCCAGGTACTGTACGACCGAGGTCTCGAATGGGAGTTGAGGATTAATGGGAGAGAGGTTGAAGAACTAGTCAAGATTCCCTTTTCAAAGAACTCACGTTTATTTATTCACCTCTCTTTTGCCTCTCTCGAGACTTCCAAAATTACAAGCTTTCTTCGTTCTATTTAATTCACATACTTGGTCAATTCATTCGCTTGAATTACATGTTCGCTCTGTGCCACCAAACGGCGACACGTCTACTACTTGACATACATCAATTTATATTTGACGACGCTCGGTCGAATGTCATATGCCTAGCATCGAGGTTGTGAATAGTTTATTCATCTAAAAATTCCAGTACTAAAGTGCTCTTTCGGTCTCATTCAATAAATTTGATATGATTCTGGTATTTCGAAGGAGCCCTTTATGCGCACGAGCATAAAAACGAAAGTATTGCCTACAATCTTGTTGCTATCATTAGAGTCGTAATTCGGACCTTGACCGAAGTCCATTAATTCTTCGAATCTGTTCGCATTTTCAATATAGCAAGTTTGTTCACGAATTAATATTTGGTCGAGGGTTTGTTCACGAATTGATATTTCGTCGAGGGTCAAATTGAAATAAAAGTAACTTCCTTTTTGTAGTGCACTTTAGGCGAATATTTGGACAATTTCTAACGCTTCTTTTGAAATACCTGGCTCGAATTGATAGTCTTTAGCCAATCTCACAAGATTGATGGGTGGGGCAACATGTTGACGAAGTTTTTGCGGTCGTAATCGTATCCGGTCGGGGAGTAAAAATGAAGCGTCATGGAAAACTTTACAAGGTAATTCGATGATCACAGTGGGGGAACGGCAGGGCAAGGTGAGTCCTATGCTAAAAGATAGGAAAAAGTTAGAGCTGCCAACCTTAAATAACAAAACTCTATCGGCGCTTATTTTTCGATTAAGGGGAGTCATACACCAATTCACTTCTCTTTGGCATTTTTGTGATATACACCACAGTTTAATGTCAATCTACATTTGCAACATAAAATTGATATCTTTGAGCCCTAAAAAATGTGAACAAAGTTGCAGAATAGGCCCTTGCAACTAAAAATAGCTTATTTTTGTAATTTTAGCCTTTTGCCACTGTGCGCAAGGTTCAGATCAGAGATATTCAGGAGGGAGTCCCTGATAGGAATCAAAGTCTTCAGAAAAGTATTCTTTTGTGGTTGAGTTTTGTGGAATTTTGATTAGAGTTATAAAAAAGTTTGTGTGCCAACAGATGTGAAAAAATCAAGAAATAAACAAAATTTATGATTATTTTTGAGCAGGTATTGAATAGTAGAACTAATATGAAGGTCTAAATCAAAATTCCACAAAACTCAGCCCATAAAGGATCTTCTCTTAAGATTTGGATCCCTATTAGGCATTGCCACTTAAATAACTCTGATTTGAACCTTGTGCACAGTGCTGAAAGGCTAAAATAACAAAAATGAGCTATTTTTAGATGCAAAAGCCTATTCTGAAACTTTTTTAATATTTTTGGGGCTCAAAGATGCCAATTTTATACTGAAAATGTAGATTCACATTAAACTGTGGTTTATATCACAAAAATGTCAAAGAGGAGTGAATTGGTGAATGACTCCCCTTAACAATAAATTTACAAAGTACTTTTGATGGAACACTAATTTTAAGTATACTTAAGTGAAATAGAAACCGTACAAAATATCATTTCATGATTTTCTGACTATTTTCAACCATACAGTCGTCCTAACCTCACATTTCTGGTTCTATTCCCGATCGGGATGAATGAAATGATACAAAATTTTTCATTGAAATTCATTATTACTCTTAATTTTGTGCGATAACGTATAAATAAGAATTGTGCAAATCAATCTAGAAAAACTCATAGGTTTCATATGTTAGGTTTTTTTTTGATTCTCAATGGTTGAAGTAGTTGAAAATACTGTTAGAAGAGCTAAATCCAACGCATTTCCATAAGGGCCCATGTCAATTTTTCAATTTTCGAGATAAATTTTCTTAAAAAAATACTGAAAAAAATCATAGAGTTCCTCAACGTACTTAAGAACAATATTATGAAGTTTTTTTGGGTTTCTCATTGTTCTCATTGTCTGTGTTAAAGATGGCTTCTGAACTAATTTAATCCTTTGTGGTCCGAATCAAACCGAGCAAAACGACTTTTTTAGAAATTTATGGAATTGGCGTTGACAAAAAATGAAACGTTATAAGAAGATTTGGTAGTTATCCTTTTTAATGATGATGTTTAAAATGTGCTTTAATGTTGTAAACATAGTTAAAAAATAGTTGAAACAAGAAAATTTAAATTTTTTATACTTTATTGCACCTAAATTACAATGTTTTAGATCTTACTGTTCGCCTATATCTCATAGAAATTAAAATTAATATTTTTCATCAGATTCGAGCAGTCGAAGTTGGCTTGGTTTTACTTGCTCTGGTAGTATGGGCTGGAGCAATTGCTCTATTTTTCAATCGTTGGGGAAAAATAAGAATGCTCTTGCCATACCAACCAGATTTCAAAGATCAACTAAAAGTACCAGGTACAGGTGTATGTAATTCATCTAATACAGGACATAATCACAGCACAGGACAACCCACTTGCCCACAGGTATTTCCATTTGGTACTATTTATAATTTACTCTCTGAGGTACTTGTAAAACTTTTATTAAATATATACAATTATTAAGATTTTATTTGAATAATAATCATAATTCATAGGCGCTTAGCATACAGAATATTTTTTAACGCTCTCAAAGGTTCAAGTTCCCATTTATAGGATGATTTTAGGTTGCATACATTAAAGAATGGGTTACGCTCAAACCTAGAATCACGTTCCGTAAACTACTATTATAGCACAACCAAAATAAAAATAAAAAGGCTAATTGACTTGTATTTAATCTGAAATCGCAAAGATTATTCGAAAATTATCAGAATTCATTTGCGACGCGCTTTTTTATAAAAACTGTGGATTAGGATCACACACAACGAAAAATTGATCGATTTTTTTAATGGGAATCTCTAATTTTTATTTCAAAATTGAAAAAAAAACAAAGAAAATTACATTCAACTAGGTCTCTTTTGAAAGTCGTTTCTAATGTGAGAAATTTATGAATAAAACCATAATTTTAGTATTTATTTTTCGAACAAAATTTAAACAACAAACTTTTTCAAACAAAGCTGAGGACTGAGCTTAAAAAACAATGGCTGGCAAAGTCAATCAAACGGACCTTCTCATAATGACCCATTTCAGGGCTACCACATCGCTAAAATGTGAGGACAGAATCTCAACATACCGTATGTCGAGCAACGCGCCGCTCTTTTTGTCGAAGAACTGCCTGTGCATTAAAGCGATGCAATGCTTCTTTCTAAGGCAACGAATTGTCAAATGCATCAAGCGACGTTTTATTAGAAGAACGAATGATTTGTCGAGATCTTCACGGCTCAAGCATGTAAAAGCAGGAACAAGCGACAAGATCAATCACTTGTTAATACACACGAGCCGCGACATAAACAAAGGCTGTCTTGCAGCGCCGGAACGAACTGGAAGGAATAGCCTTGAGGAGACACCATACACCTTAAAATCCTTTTTATTTCATATCAGAAAAATAGATCTAAAATAAAAATTGATTTTGGTCAACTTTGAGGATTCTTACTAACCTTTTAAACAAAATATTTTCATCCCTACATACTGGAAAAGTATCTCTAAATTTACAGGAGGTCCCCTTGAATTAGAGAATCTCTATGGTCACTACCTCTAGAAAAACTATCCAATAAGTTAAAACCATAATTTTTGCATAAAACTAATATTTTTTTAAAATTTTGTTTCACTTTATTAGAATATTCTCACAATTACAGTAACACAGAGACTTTTGATGGTGCTAACACTTTGTCTGAGATAGCGACCATAGGCATTGTCATAAGAAACAAATGGAACGCCCCAGAAACTTGTACAGATTATTGGTAGAACTTGAATCTTACGATACATAGACATACAATTGAATTTGAAATTGTCTTAGTCAAGCGAACCTCCTGTAAATTTAAATACACTTTTATAGTATGTAGGGGTAAAAATATTTTGTGTAAAAGGTTAGTAAGATGCCTCAAAGTTGACCAATCTCATTTTTTATTCTAAGTCTATTTTTTTTTAATGAAATAAAAAGGATTTTAAGGTGTATGTATTCCCTTAAGGGCCGCACCGGTGTAGGCCGGCTTATCCTCGATTCAGTCACCGACTATTACCCGTAAGTGCGATAAAATGGCATTCGTCAACGAAAGAAACTACGAGATGGTCGACGTCAGCAACAGCTCGGAGATGGATATCGACGAGCCAAGTGCAGAGAACGACAGCATGGGCCTCCAGTTGAGAATAGTGCGATGGTTTACGCCACCCACCACACCAACACCTAGGTCGCCCTCGTTTTCACGAGACAAAGAGAAGAGGATGACGACCTTATGGCCAACCCAGGGTCGCACCTAATGTACCTGGACATCCCCGACTACTACAACTGGGCTGTATCGCCCTTAAACAGTGAAGCCGACGAGGCAATGGAAACAGACGTGAAATCCGACAACAACTAAGAAGTCACCGAAGAGCAGCACGTCAGGGAGGCCGCTGAAGGAGCCGCCAGCCAAATTTTCGAGGAAAACGATAACGTGGTCGACGTCGGAGGAGCTGATAACAAGGTCTTCGAGCGGATCCTCGAGGAAGCCGCCAAACACCGATTTATGGGCCTGATCCACGCCTTTCCGCAGGCCCTATAAGAAGGTGAAACACCAGCCGGGATGTACGAAGACCTCGAAAGTGAGGAGAACCGTGACAATTATGAGCGGACCCTGATGGGAAGACCCTATCGGACAGGCGTTCTGCGGCGGTGCTAGTACGTCGTGGTTAGGTATTTCTAGTATCATGATGGAAGCTGGGTCTCGTTGTGCTGTGCCAGATCGACACCCGGACACGGAGCCCAGGAGGTGACGCTCCACCTAGTAGGGCTAACAGAATAGATTAATGATCACCTAATCAATTGTCCCTTATGCGGGAGGACGTTGGGTCGCAGCATACGCCCCGCAAAAAAGTGCGAGTTGTGCACCCTAGTCGTCCTTCTTAAAGAAGACAACATCGAGGAAGGGATGGTATTCAACGCCGAATAACAGCGAAGTCAAAGAACCACCACTACAGAAATCAAAATTTTTTTTCGAAAATAGCATACAACGCCCCGAATAATCAAAAAGAGGAATATAGCGTAGTACGCAACACGCTGTTGATAAAGTACGATTCAATTGTTATAGGATTAATTTTTAGGATCATAAGGAGATGTATAAAACTAACATTACTATTATTGCTCAGTTTGTTTCTCTTACATTACAATAAAAAAGCATTTACTACAATTACGAGTACTGGTTTTTTCCTCAAAGAAAAAAAAAAGAAAGATATAATGTTCTTATCAATAGAACATAATAATCCATGGAACCTCATACAATGTCGCTTTTACTTTCAGTCAAATTCTTTCAAATCAACATTGAAAAATTAATATGAAAAAAAATTATTATGAAAATAAAAAATAATATTAGATAAAAAAAAGAAAAAGGATGTGAGAACGACAAGGGCAGGACGAAAAAAAAGGATGCGATCACAGGATCATACCTTTTTTGGGGAGGTTGCTGTTATTAGTAGTAGCATTAGTAGTAGTAGTAGTAGTAGTAGGTTTTCATTGGCATTTAAAAATTTTACATAGCCATAGTACACATGCTGTTATTAGCTGGCCTCCCAGCAGCACTGCCATCTATCGGAGCAGCCAGAAGGTAAGACAAATACTCAATCAAGCAGTGCGCAGCTCCGTTCTTAAGACGGCGTGGAGCAGCTAGGAAAGGCATAGGCCCCCTTTCAAAAAGTGAGCAGAATGGAATCAAAAGACGCATCGCTCCTTTTTTGGGGACGAACTGCCTGTGCATTAATCTGTGTAATGCTTATTTTCGAGGCAATGAATAGCCAAAGGCATCAAGGGACTTACTGCTTCTTTTCGTGGCAACGAAATAATCAAACAATGAGGCAAGTCTAAAACAGCAAAGCAAGCCATGGCCGCGTTCCGCTTCTGCTTTCCAGAGGCGAGAGAGGTAAGAGATCGGCTGTCTGGTAAGTCGCAAGATCAGAGCGGTAAGCCGCCAATCCGAGTCAACGCGGCACGTATCAGCTGCTTTCTTTCTTTCTTTCTCCTCTCCCTCTCTTCTGTCCTCGAGCCACCGAAATTCGAGGTTATAGATAGATAGATTCTGGTTGGTTACCGCTTCAGCCTACTTGGCCTAGAAGCCGGGGCCACCCACTGACCACCTATGTGTGGGGGTGTATTGACACACCATTTCCTACCTCTATCTTTCCTGCGTGCACTGAGTGAACGTATCCGGTACTAACCGTATCAGTAAGGCTGATACTCCCTGTGCCTACTGGCACATCGGTGCGTAGTTCACTCCGTACAGCCTCTTCCTGGATATGTCGCCCTGTATACTGGCGACAATCCTCGCCGGTTAAGCTGACGCTCTCTACCGCAGCATCGAGTTGAGGCAATTAGTTTCACCGAGCAGCCCCTTGGGGTCAGCTCTGCTCCGGTAAGGCCGACGTTCCCTGCCAATAGCATCGGGTCCGCTAATCCGCTACCTAACTCCCTTTTTACTCCCTACCTGCTACTGTCTCGTATTTGCCCAGGCCCGAAGACCTGTGGTTCAAGGAAAAACCTGTATGTGTATACCAGTGGGTTCGCACTAGAGGTATACCCAGGGAAAAACCCGCCCCGAGACAGCCGGAAAAAATCTTGACATATAATGTTGTATCTGAACTGCGATTCCTCGAAATGACATTTTTCAAATCGGTAAAGAACGTCACTCAAAAAGTGTTCAACCGATTCTTTTGAAAATTTGCGCAGTTCTTTATAAACCCTTTGAGCAGGTACTGACATCGAGATATTTCGATTTTTTCGAAAATTTTTTTGTTTATAACAACTTTTCCGAAAAAAAAGGTCGATTTTTCATGTGTGGACGCAATTTTAACGTTTTTTTCAACTTCAAAATTACGTCAAAATTCGAAAAATCACTATAATTGAAAGAACTCTACGTCAGTACCTGATAAAACTCATAAACTAATGAGGTAATTTTGCATTTTTCGTTTCAGATGATTCTGTGAAAAGTTACGTTCCTCACCAGAATTCTCACGACTTTTCCGTAGATTTGCTCTCAAAGATCGAAAAATGAAAATTTTTTTATGAAATTTTCATAAAATACTCTCGAAGTCATGTACTTTCACATGTACATTGTAGAAATAAATTTTTTTTTTAGTAGTAAAAAAAAAATGTAAAAATTAAAAAAAATCGATAAATCAGCACCATACCCCCCCTTAAATATTGTTAAAAAATACCATGTATTAGCGGATCATGGTATCAGGCTTACACAGTCAAGTCAAACTGGCTAAAAAAATTTGTATTTTTACTTTTCTATGTTTTGAATAAATAAAATCAATCAATAAAAACTTAAGCTAAAAATAACGCTTTTATGATTTAATATTTTTAAAAATCGTGTGAAAAAATTTTTTATAAAACTTTCTATCCGTCTTTTCTCTTCTGG